TTCATGCACGTATCTTTGACACAGTTTGACCGCCTTACAGCCCCACGACATGAAAGCGCCTGGCGTCCGTGCTGGTATCAAAACCATTCGGATAACAAAATTCGGCGTAGTTGGCTTGGGAGGGGGCATTCCGCACTCTCGCCACTTTCGCTGTTTCCCATTGAGTCATAATGTAGAGGTTTGTGAAGCCTTGTGAAGACATGAAATGGTACTGGTCAAAGTTTATGGAAACTGCTTGTCAACTATTGTAAAGCACCAATACAACAACTGGGAGTGGCGAAAGTGCAAAACACCTCTGCTGAAATAGGTTCATGCTACTAGCGTCTACGCTGCCGGCCGATTTTTGCGCAGGCATCCGTAGCTTGCACAACAGGCGTTTTCGCTTTCTAGTCTAGTATCCAACTACCCCAAATCTACCGTCATGTCCAAGGAGCATGTGTTTTAAGGAAGACCTAGTACAAGCTCCGAAACGTGGGCAGTGAAGTGAAATAGTGCCAAAAATTGGGAAAGTTTGTTACATCGTTGCACTACGTATTAACTTTTACAGAAGTCCACATGAACGGCGTCGTAGTCGAAGCAGAGAGCGCCGAAGTCGCGACGATAGACGACGACGTGATGAGAGAGATAAACATGCTCAAGGTTATCACTTCTATTTTTGTGCGTGTGTCAAACCACCCCCTGGTGCGAAGTTCTGGCCGAATCTACCTACTGAGGAAAAGATTTTGATCGAAATCTGGAACTTTCATAAGAGTAGCTAGTCCCCGGGTTCCGTTCTAATGTGTTATGTACTTTGTGAATAGGGGGAGGCGAGCTTCAAGTCAGTTCCCGTTCGGCTACGACTCTGAAGTCCATAGCCGGATCTGATTCGTTCGACCTCCCAAAGCCTGTTATGTTTTCAGAGCCCATTTCTCTCGATCAGCTGGTGAATTGCGAACAGGATATTTCCACGCTGATGGGTTTCACAGGGTTCAATACGACGAAAAATAAAAAGGTAACGATTTCGTGCCATTTTGATCCATGTAATTTGAAGCGAATAATGGATTCCAGGCGTAAAGTTCATGGTTACTTGGATAGCGCTTTCTTAAATGCCAACCGAATAAAATGAAGAATGCTCATGTATTAATGTATTTCACACTCAGCGTTGTTTTATGCCTTCTCTTCAGGTGCACGTCAATTACGATGGTGCTGTCAAAATCAATAAACCTCGCCGTTATCGCCAGTACATGAACAGAAAAGGTGGATTCAATCGGCCACTCGACTATATTGCGTGATCTCTACCATTTCATCGTTTTTGTTTTCAACTCGTATTTTCTACCAATAAACCATGTTTTGACTCAGGTGATATTGATCCCCGTACTGGTATGATTCCATAGCTTCATTATTTCGAAATGCAACGATTCTTCCTTTGTTAAAGCTCCTTTGTTGAAATTCCGTGCTTTTACTTTATTGTAATTTCAAAATAGGAATCATTTTTCAACCTACTGAAGCGAAGTACTGCCAACTATGACGAATTGTATTGGAAGTGTGATATCAGTGGACTGTGGAGAGTTCGGCTACTATCAAGGAAGGCTCATATCGCTTGATGCTGAGTCGAAGGACATTGTTCTAGGATCAGCATTCAAGTGAGTTTGCCATTTAGAGCGGAACTTTCGGCGCTGTTCGGCTTAGGAAGGGCAATTACACCTCTGTCAGTCCCTATTGCGTGATCGTGTCAACTAAGAGGTACTATTTCGGTGAAACCTGTAAACTCCTGTGAAACTGCGAAATGATACGAGTGAGCCACTTTCGCTCCAGGAGTTTACAGGTTTTTACAAGGTGACACGCACAGGCTGCACTTAGTACCACTTTGTTCCCCCTCCCCCCCCTCCGAACTACACCGAAACACATCCACTGAGCAGAGTTAATGTTGCCAATTTCAGAGAAGGTATCCCTCTTGGCAAAAATGTTACTTTGAATGGAGCGCAAATAGTTAGCCTCAAAGTGCTCAAACCAGCACAGCAAGTGGCGGAGGCTCACGTAGCCTTCAACCTCAAATAATCACGTGGAGAAAAAAGATGTTCAAAAAAGCAATGGAGTGAAGCAGAATGGTTCCATTGTTCACAGAAGCAAGAGTACAATTGAATGTAAGGACCGCGTTTTTTTCGAACTACGACAAAAAGGTGAAAGTTTTATTTCAGTCAGTAGCATGGATGCCTCTTCTCAGAATCGGAATCGTGTAGGAGGTCTACAAGCGCGGTAAGTTGCTTTTGGCTGGTATTTTCGGTGCCAACTTATTCAAACAGGCGACGCGGCGGCGTGTTTTCATCTTTTTCCCTCCATCCGCTTAGAAGCCAGCCGCCGATCGTTGAATATCCCAAATCGCGCCTGATCGCCGAATCCTCACAATCGCTAGCGACCGGCGCCAATCGATATCCACACGCTCCTTCGGCGCGCAATCGGCTTAGTCGACGGATCGCCTGTTCTCCTCATTTGTTAGATCGACACCTGTACTTTCCTTCCATCTTGTGGATCGCCTGGTGTCCTGAAGCGCCGTATATTCGCGCAGAGTGTGAGCGCCGCCTTTGCTACTGCGTGACCTGTCTAGCAGAGTATAGTCGTACCATCGCGTAGCCCCTTCGAACTACGTTGGCACTATATTTTTTTAGCCATTCAGATTATGGGAAATTTTCTCATTTAGCTCTTCGACCACTATGCAAAGCAAACCAATTAGAGCAGCTGTACAAAGGAAACCTAGCTCCGTCAGTTCCACAAGCGAAGAGGGACAAAAGTGAGTGTAATTATGTCTTTTTATGTTTTCGCTAAAGTAATCCCTCATTTTTCATGATAATTTTTTGTTTTTTCCAGCATAAACCCTGATGTTTCTTCAAAAGCTAGACGAAGAAGTCGACGAGTCAGACGATCGGAGTCTGAACATGTTAGTTTTTCATCATGCGGTTAACTTTTTCAGTGCTACAGATTTTCAGATTTCATTTTATAGTTTATACCACTTGTCTGAGCAGAGAATCTAATGTATAACCCTCGACCTGAACGATATCGATATAGTGGTACAAGGGAAGTGTGGGCTTTTATTCAACTTAGTGGGACATAGTTGAAGAGCGCTCAAACCCCCAAAAACCACGTCTTTTTGCGCAGTGGAATTAGTTCGCATATTCGACTGCTCTCTGTCCCTTTAGTCTTGAACAAAAATAGTCACCTAGCTAGATCACGTCGTTTCTCCGCACCTTCAAGCGCTAACCCTGCCGCTCCCCTCCCCCCCCCCCCCTTCTCAGTGGAATAGATCCTGGCGATGTTAGTTCATCGTGAAAGACTTGCATATCGCATGAAGGTAGCTGTCAATCGCGTGGTCTTCTTCCTCTTTTCCTTCTTCTCCCTCCTTCCTTTTCTTCCCTTCCCTCGCTCTTCCCTCTCTACCTTACTTTCCTCCCTTCGAATACTCATCTAGAAGATGCGAAAAGAAATTACTTCTGCACTCTTGCAGCGGGATCCGATTAACAAAAGCATTTCAAACTTCACACATCCCAGCAATGGTAGTATTCTCTTAAAATTATTTTCAGATCCACAGCCATCCTTTAGGCGTTTCCGAAACGCCCCACTTCCGCAGCTTTGAACCTCAAGTGCCGTTACCTCGCGAAGTTCTTGTAGCTAAAGTGAAAAACCGAGGAAAAACAAAGGGTAAAGAATGGATTTGTCGTATTTCCACTGAATGCAACTTTTGAGCAGTGATTTTTAGGGCCTAGTGGTAATCCACTGCTAGACTCTAAAAAACTACATGGTCGAATAGCAAATGGCAATGATGAATTGGTCAAGCCGATCGATTTTGACTTGCTTAATACAGATTTTGATTTCGATGCAAATTTGGAGCAGTTCAAACGTGAGGTGTGTTAGCTTTACAAATCGCAAAAATTCTGATAGTTATAAATCCTAATCAGGGTTCGTTATTATTATTCTGTGGTTTAGAATGAGGAGGACGAGTATTACGAGACAGTTGAGAAGCAAAAGATGTCTCAAAATTTTGCTCACTACGAAAACATCATCGCTGATCCCACAAGGGTTACTTCGTGGACAAATGTTCTCGGAGGTAGTAATCACATAGGAAATTCCGATCAAACAAATGCCACTACAGGGTCTGCTATGGAACGGTGAGCAATAAAACCGTGTATTTCTCCAAGCAATGTAATATTGCGGTCTAGGGCGGCGTTCAGACTTTGCGGTGATTCGCATCGACGCACTGCGTTGCGGTGATGGCCTCTGGTATTTTGGAAGAGTATAGAAGAAGAGAAGGGTACCAGACTGTGACGCTTACCCTCCTTGTTAGCGGGGTTGAAAAATCAGAAGGATTTGTAGTGTCCAACTTCTCTCTTCGTAAAACCTCGGCATTGTTGTTACGTTTGATAAATTCTTCTGTGCACACGAGGTTGGTAGGTGGAACTTTTATTATGGCCTGACGTTTCGACTAGATCGTCTTCATCAGAGGCCCAGTCCACCACAGCGAGAGCGGGTACAATTGTACTAACAACTAACTGAGCGGCTACTTCCGCTCTCGCTGTGGTGGACTGGGCCTCTGATGAAGACGATCTAGTCGAAACGTCAGGCCATAATAAAAGTTCCACCTACCAACCTCGTGTGCACAGAAGAATTTATCAAATGCTTACCCTCCTATTTTCCCATACTCTCTCAAGGCAGTAGCCGGCAATGCTACCTCGTCGACGCTCGTTACAGCGAGATAGAGCGCATCGACATGCGCCACCGCGAAGTCTGACCGCTCCCTCCAGCCCCTCTGGACCCAATGTCTCCATGTCGTCATTTAGGCGCTCCCCGCCAACTCGATCCATTTCTTTTTGCCCGAGCGGTTACGAGACTACATACGACGGTTTTCCACTGCCCGTTTTAGATGTGGCGCTCAAGAAGAAATACTTAAGTGTGAGTCTACGCATTTTCTTCTGTAGATTTCTTTATAATGAGGCCCTTCTACTTTTCCGTGTGGGAACCTTTAGCATGGTAGAGCCATTCACAATGTTTCCAACGTAATATTCCATCTTTAGGAATGCTGTTCAGCTATGGGATCAGATGTATACTATTACATGGTCGCCGATAGATTGATTATGTGGCTAATAGATGTTGTGGGGAGGTATGTTTTACAAGAGTTTCTGAAACTTTCTTCTTGAGTTCTACTTTATGGTAGACGGAGCTAGCGTAGTGGCACCGCACCACGCGCGAGTCCTGGATCAAGTCCCGGAAAGATCAATCAAACCTTCTACCTTCCGGGGACGGTTAATTGGTACCAGATTCGTCTTGGGAGACAAGAACACTGACTTGTACATCCGCGTCACCCCCCGCAAGCCATTGTATAGGCCATATCGCGTACACTTTGCGACTACGATTCTGTTTAGGAGTAAAATGCGCGTCGCATACCAGAAAAGGATTGATCAACGGCGATGGTTTTATCCTTTTTTTTACTAACGAGAATGCTGATTTCTGCTGGTTTTAGGCTTGGAATAACCCTTGATCGGACTGTTGTTTTGGCATCGTCGACGACTCCTTTGAGATTGGTCGACCGTATACTGTCACATCTCGACAATAGAGGGTTAGTCTTTTCATTTTCTCAACTTCTCAAACTTTTATTTGCTTTTCTAATTGCCCAAAGGCTTGCTTCTCCCTCTGCAGCTACTCACTACTACTGGCTACTTGGCTAGTTAAAGGCAGTTGGCACGATGATTTGGTGCTCGGCCTAAAATGCTAGTAGGGCGCTATATAGTGGGGAAATGGCGAAAGAACGGAGTGAAACGGTCAAAATCCTGCGAAGAAAGAGCCTCCGTTCTCATGACTTGAATATCGATTTTGGACGAGTTTCCCGTAGGCATCTTACCAATAACCGCTACCTATGTGTACCATGTATGCATGCAGCATCACGGCCGCTTCATACCAATCCCTTCGCTTCATAATTTGCTT